TAAAAAAGTTGTGCGTGTATAAACTTAAGAAAGAACTGATTGACGTAGTAATATTAAACAAATTATATTTAAAAAAAATATGGATCATAATTTTAAGAAACTTAAAATCTTTAATTAGAAATGCGATATTACAAAAATATTCGTAGTTCAAGTGTCAAGTAAGGAACATAAAGTAAAATATTGATAAAAAGATTATAGGTTGCATGTACTTATAATACAAATTATATAAAACACAAAATAACAGCTTCAGTAAGTGCAGAGTAAACTTTGCATTTCATTCGTCCTCTATTAAAATCCACACTGAAAAAAAAAAGGAAATTTTATTCTTTAAAGACTGTTTGCAATAATGTTCATTTACACAAAGGTCCGCAGTGTATTTATATGTTAACCTTCTACAGCTAGGAGTCCAGTGTTTGCAAATAGTGAATTTTTAATCAGAAGATTTTTAATCTTGAATAAAACTCCTTTTGACTGGAGTAAGACGGATGCACTATTGAAATGGAAACAAGGAAAGAAATTATACCGTTCGTTCGTCGATCGGAAGTTCGTCTGGCCTTTGTTTGCGTCTTTACATCGAGCAGGGTGAGGGGGAAGGGACTAAGTTACTCCTGGCTCTTGGTCGATGATAATTATTCTCGTAAATTCAAGCATAAATGCGCGTCGACCGGGATGGGAAGGGGGCGAGGGGAATTGGTAGGTTAAATGCTCGTAATGACATCTCGTAATTGCATCGAAAGTTCACGAGGAAACTGTAATTATCGCACGGGTGCAGTTTCAACGATACAACTGGCGGGCTATCAATTTTGACGAGAAAAATATCTGCACGGCTCACTACTTTTTTATTTTATAGATAAACAATTAAACGGTTGGCTCACGTGGAAGAAGGTCCATATCTATATAAAACTGTTTAAAGGTTTATTCTGTTCGCGTCGAATTAATAATTACTTGAAAATACACTACTACGAAAGAAACCTTGTTAACACCAACGAATGAATTTATTTACGTAAATAAAAACTAGGTAAAATTAACACGTAAATCGGAAAATACTTTAAGTTCAAAGTGAAAATGGAGAATTAAAATATTTAGAACTTCTACTGTTTTTTTTCTATGTTTCTAAAACATCAGCAAAATTGATATATTTAGAAAATAATTATACATTGAATTTATAATCGGTTATTGTATTATAGTAATGTGTACAGTTTATATAGGATTGTAATTATATATTAATTGCAGAATTTATGTGGAACTTATGTGTCCCTGTTTCTCCTTTTTCCTCTGTTTTGCTACATTAGCTTCGCATTGCGTAATAAAGGCCAATTACCGTTACTGCTATCGTAAATACAGTATCAACCTTCTTCCTCCTCTTTTATGCCGTATGCATAATACCTGGTAACGACATGGAAAGGACCCACTTTGGCATTCCTTATGGTGGATGATTATTTTATAATTATAAGCAGGGTAACTTATTACACAGGCATAACACGAAAGAATAATTAAAATATTCTCTGTTAAACTGCTACTGGTGAATCATAATCGTTTTAAATTACTTATTAGGAAACACGTTAATATTTTAACATCACCTTATAATGTTACTCTACTAGTCAAGATTGTCAAGATTGGTGGATTTCGATCATTTATTTGAACAATCATTCGTATTAATATTCATTATTCGGACAATACCTCGATTATCTAAGTTATCGGCACTGGGATAATTATCTGCGTAAGCGTTTATTATTCAGCCGACCGGATGTACCCGTTGATTGATCACGATTCAGTGCTCCTAATATTTTCGCGCATTTCGACGATTAACAGATGTTTCAAGGTTATTGGACAATCATACATTATTGATGGCTTGTTTTTTTATTCGATACGAGATAATTTCAAATCTGTGCTTGTTAATTGACAAACTGTTAAATAATAAACTATTTCTTTTATTTGAATGTTTAATTGTTTTCTGTTTTTTGAGAAAACGAAGTTTAATGTTATGAGAGTCAGGAAAAATACGTATCTACGTAAAGAAATGTGATTTACATACCCCGCTGAAGGTCTTGACATTATGCAAAGCATTTTGCGCGTCCAGTGCAGCTTTTCTCGTGTAAAACGTCACAAAGCAACATCCTGCAATGAAAAAAAAGAAGTCGATTAAGCGTCAGGAAGGTAAAGAATGAGAATCTTGGAAACGGAAATTAAATATTGGTTTTCGTGGACGAGATTGTAAATGTAACTAATATGTATACAGTAAAATATTGTCGTTTGTGTGTACATTTGGAATATAAAATTATTACCATTTTTGATTCATGTTAGTAGTAGGTATTATAGCAAACGTACTTATGACTAGATTGTAGGCACAAATAATATTACTAATATAAGTAATCCCTACTGTGACAGTTCGATAGTTCAGTAATTTCAAGAATTACTTTAATAATTTACATTACTTTACATTAAAGAACGTAGATATGATATATTCTTCAAAAATGATGTTTAATGTTATAAGCTGCCTGATTTCCTCAACAACTGAAGAACAATAAATCGTCATAACAATCACTCTTAATTAAACCACTAAACTCAAAATAAAACACCTCTATCCTCCATTTCTTCCACACTAATGTCTGCCCATCAATGTACTTAACTCCTTGTCTTATGATTCCTTTTATAACTGCACTCGTTATAATAACTTCGTCATTAATAATTTACCCAAAAGTAGAGAATTTTCAAGTAAAATTTATTCAATTAAAAAAGCATTAAATCCCATATCTACGATTACTTTACAGCATAACGATTGATAATAGAAAAACAGTATTAACGCTAGACCTACCAAGCGTTTAATATGAGTACTCAGCAATCTTTATAAAAATGGTAACAATAGATTTCCGGTTTCTTCATACATTCCTTACAGCATCCAAGCAAAACTATTTATTCTTGAAATCATTTTAGATATTAATACTCTAATATCAATAATCGCGAAATAAGAAAACTGAAATCAGTCATTTTGACCTGACCGGCAGCTTTAATATCAATCTAAACTCAAAACAACTTAGTGGCAAATAACGTATTTAACTTCCACTTAAAAACTTCTTCAAGAGTCTGACTCGATATTCCATGGCAAGAGTTAGAAAAAAGGAATTACTCAATGAATGGAACAGTCAGTGACACATCTCATAGAGAAAACATATATGTCATAGTCGATCAAGTTGCCCGCTCTTGGGAAGCTCATCAAGAGGTTTTCTTGTTCCTTCGCTGTCGCAGCTGGACACCACCCAAGCCAGAAACGAACGGATTGGATCGGTCGATAGTTTCGAGTTGCCGAAAGTTCGATACGCCGTTGTATTACTACCGGCTCCACCGTCCCTCCAACCCCTTTGCACCCGTGCTACCTCCGCACCGGTGTTACCTACGCGAGCTAGTGGAAGGGGTTGCACCCTTCCGGCGTTCAGTTTACGAATAAGGCAGAGCTGCATAGGTACTCGGTATCTCAGCCTCCTTTCGTTCGTTCACGTAGACCGACGCAGCTCCCGAGGAAGCGTTCCGGGCCCGGCAAACTTTCGAATTCCGGCAGGAACTTACATTACGCGAATGGTCGGAGCCAAATTGCTTCTACTTTGCCGGCCAGGAAAAAAGCTGGATAGACCTGACCGTTTTCGGTGAATCAATCGGGCCGTTGATATTTACGTGTACATTAGCTTCTCGATAATCTTTTAATACTTTTGGTGACGCGTTTTCTAAGAATGGTCGACGCATGATTTGATATAAGGATAAAATGGCACTTTGTAAATGATCTATTAGGATGGGATATGTAAAATAGGTGGGAGAGAGGAAAGTAATTCGTCTGGGATCTACCAGTGGATTTATCAGTGAGGTTAAAACATTGTTTGATTCAATATGTGGTAGGCTCTGCGATTTAGACTAGAATTGTCTACTCAAATATCGTTCAATCCAACATTTGTTAGTCTTTGAAATTATAGCTCAATACTGTCTATTCCAGTACTATTTAACCCAATATTTGATAAGCTTGGTCATTTTAATTTAAACGTATTAGAAATATGTTTGAAATATACTTGAAATCGAAGACTTCTTCGAAATTGTTACATTTATGAAGGTATTAAAGTACTCGAAGATGAAACTAGTAAAGTAATAAAGGTACAGTGTTGATAATATACAGTTCCTGGAAATTTGGACTGTTATGGAAGAATGAAGGAACGCTGGAGAAATAAAACTGCGATTTCCGTAGGATAGTCAGCTTATTGAAGTGAAGTTCGAATTGCCAAGAACTTCGTAAGGACGAAAATAATCGAGTTTTGTGGGGTAAAACTTCACGATGTAACTCGTGGTAGTACATACTATGGTTCTCTTTGCTAGCCAAAAGTAAGAAACTCGCGGAACATTGAATTCGTAGCGTTCAAATGTCTATTAAATTGTTTCGAATTAATATTACTGTTATTTGCCACATTTTTAAATTAAATTCTTAATTGGAAACAAATGCATTCATTGCAAATTTTTGTAATAATATTCGAGACATATAAGATAGGCGAGCTAGGTCCGGGTACAGAGAATTTGAAATAGTATCGAAATAACGCGAAATAACGAGATATTCGATCCGTCTATCACGGTGGATGCGTAATTGAAAAATGCGTAACACGATATTACTACTACTAAGACGGTGGCAAACTTGAAATCTTGTTTCGGCGGAGTTTTCGCTTCGGCTTCGTCGAGGGCTGATCGTGAAAAGTAACAGAATTCCCCGTAACCAAGAAAATTAGAAATCTGATATTATCTAGGAACGTCTAATTGACGTGCCAGACAGGTGTTCGAATCGAATCAGGTTTCACTTACCAAAGGTATCGTAAAACCGCTCTTTTCGCTAAAAGTTCGCTAAAAGATAAAATTTATTATAGTCATGAAGTAATTAGAATTATTTAGTAAAATAATATAAAAATTGTATACACAATTACTAATCCAACATTTTATTGCGTACTTAAAATGATACGTCCATTTCAAAGTTATCTTTTATATTTAACTTCAACTACATAATAAATATTTATATTCATATTTGATAAATACATAATTATAAATATTATAAATATTATAATTATAGATATTAATATTTATATTTATTAACGATAAATTTAAATATTCTACGAACATTAACATGTTAAATACGTACACATATTTTAATATTATACACAATATCGTTTCAAAGGGCTTTACAGTATTTCATAGTTGCCATATTGTAATTGATGAATCATGTACTACAATGTTATAGTCATCGAAAACTGTTCGATGAATGTATACTCTTCGCATGATCATTTACACGAAGTTCAATTTCTTGTACATTTAAAAATGTATTACACCTAGACATTACCATCCAGAAACTCATAATTCAGATAAAGGACTTTCAACACGCAAAGAAGAATTCACGGAAGTCATTTTTCACGCACAAAAAACAGTTCCCCCGGTGCAAAGAGTAAAACGCCTAGATATTCGTGATACGTCGTCAGGTGAGTTTCGATAAATTATGATAGGAGGACTAAGCAGGTGTTGGGAAATTATGTTCCGGCGGGTAACTAATCTTTAGGCATCATCGCTCGATAAACCTTTAAATCACATCCTGCAAACAACCCCCGCGCCGCACCTAGCTACTGGCTGGCCAGCTTGTAATACTCGTGTCTACAAATGACCCTATTCGTCGAGCTGCCAACGCAACCTTCTTCTTTCTCCGCTAACCCTCTATGCTGTCTTGTGGATCGTTTTTACCGATAAACAACGCGATCATTTAAAGCTATTGCACGTCCAAATTGTAAAATAAGCGAATTTCAAAATTAAACAGCAGAATGAAATTTTAACGACAATTTCAATTTTATTAGAAAATTTTTTTATATGATATAGGATTAGAAGTATTATAATTCATATGATAATAAAATTCAAATAAAGAAATGATTAATTTACTGGTTACGATTGCTTTCTTCAAAATATTCCCACTGTGCCAATTTTATTGACAGCTCACTGTTGAGGACATTTTTTTAAAGATGATGTCTTACTGCAAATATTTTCATTTTTGTTTATGGTTGATTTAGGGAAGCTGAATTATGTTTATCCGATGTAATTAATTGCAAACGAAGCAATGAAGTTCGAATGTCGGTTATTGAAGATATATAATTGAAAAAAAAAAAATAAGACAAATTTAAGATTACATTAAAAAAAATATATTA